TCACATCCCCCCCCCTCCACCCCCCCTCTGGCCTCATGGAATACAGGAATACCGAATCCCAGCGCCTGCCTTGCCGCAGAGGCTAAATAAAGCAGCAGGAAGAGCTCTCGAATGCCAGCGAGGCGATATATAAACATCGACGGGGATGGCGCGTGTGCTAACGCTGCCCGGGAGAAATGGCTCGTCTCATACCAACCAGAGAGGCTCCCAAGGCCAAAGGGAAACCTCTCTGGGAAAAGCCACGCTCAGCCTGAGCTCTGCGACGCGGGGAGGGCTCGGGAAGATGGAGCTCAGCCAGTTTGTCCGGCCTCGTCTCTCCTCGTTGGGAAAGGAAAAGCCCGAAGACTCCGGCGACATTGCTCCAACGATCCCGGAATTAATCTCCCTCAAAGTCCCAAATGCAGATGGAAAAATGTAATAAATTATATTCTTTTTAGTTTTTTGGTGTTTTTTGTTTGTTTTTTTTCTCTGGGATACCGTTCAACTGAGCTAATGGCGTCGCTAGGCCTATTGCTCTTTTAGGGAGGGGGAAAAAAAAAAAAGGGTGTTGTGGTTACGACTGAAAATACCATTCCCATAAAATATACAGATTTTTCTCGCGCTGGATGTGTTTATGCGAAGAGGACAGGAAACAGCAGCGGCTCACTGTGATCCTGCATTATCACCCCCCGAGCATCTCCCATCCCAGCCTTTCAATACCAGCTTTGTTACTGGCGGGGACGGGCACGGGGATGTGGGAGCTCTCTTATCTCAGAGTCTCCCTCGGATTTCGTTAATGGCGCAAAAATTATAAACAAAGCAACAGAATAACAACTAAACCCATCCGGGTCTCCGCATCCCACTCCCTTTCCCAAAGGCTGAGGGATCAGCTGTGAATCCCCTGGGGCCGTGCTGTCGGTGCTCGGCATCCATTTTTAGGGATCTTTGGGATGTCCTGCTAGGAAAATTCACCCTGGAGATGCAGCACGGGGGACCTCAGCACCGATCATGAGCTTTGTGGGGTGCATTTGGGGACAGGGGTGTCACCTCTGCTCGGTGACACCTGGCACAGCATCAGGGCTCCCGCTCTGGCCGCAGCTGGGATTTAGAAATCCCTCCCTGGACGAGAGAGGAAAACAATTCCCAGCTACTGTGAGCGGGCTGTGCTGGGGCTGGGGACAGTTTCTCAGCCCATAAGGGGAAGAAATTAAATAAAGAAACCCCGGCACGGAGCCACAACAGCCGGGGCGTTGCTATAAACTCCGGCGAGGAGCTGGACCTTGCTCTGGTTCCCGCGTTTCACGGGGATTTTTGAGGAAACTCTTCCCCCCTCCCCATCCAGGCTGGGGTGGACACGTCCCTGTTCCCCCAGCATGGAAGCAACCAGGATGGAGGGACCTCATCCAGCATTTACCTGAGCCATTTAGGAGAATTCCATCTGATTTTTGGCCATAAAGACCCACTTTGCAGACATAATCAAACCTCTGGTTTAATTGGGTTTATAATTAAAAGCTTGAGCACACATTAAGACCTCTGATTCTGCCCCACTTTCCTATTTGCCTGGATGTACCCCCTGAGGAAGTGACCCCCCTGCAGTGACTCCACCCATCCCAGCTGAGCTGGGAAATCCAGAGCCCAGCGTTCTGGAGCCATCCCTGGATGGTGCTGAGCATCCCCAGCTGGCTCCAGGGAAAGCGGGGAGCATCCCTGGGAATGGCTCAGTATCCAGGTGGTGTCTGGGGGCAGGATGGCCCACTGATCACGCTGGAAGTGTCACACAGCCACCGGAGCTGGAGCAGGAATGCCAGCAGGAATGCTCCCAGAGGGGGTGTTGCCATCAGATTTGAGCTGTGAGGGGGTGTCAGTATATTTAGTATATTTAACTGGCCCCTCCAAATCTCCCTCTCTATTTACCCTTGAAATCAGCAAGGCTGAAAATAAATTAAAAAAAAAAAAAAAAAAAAAAAAAAAAAAAAAAAAAAAAAAAAAAAAAAAAAAAAAAAAAAAAAAAAAAAAAAAAAAAAAAAAAAAAAAAAAAAAAAAAAAAAAAAAAAAAAAAA